GGTTTTGTCATTTAGAGAGGATAGAACAAAATAGGATGACTTGGTGGATGTATATTTAAATCTATAGTGGTGGGGAGGAGGGGTAGGGGTCATCTTAGAAAAGGATGAAGGGAGGAGGTGAAAGAGGTTTTGTGTGCAGGGGGCTTAGACATACAGCAGGCATATGTGAGTGTTTGAGATAGGAATGAATGGAGATGTGGCAGTAGCTAATTAGAGTTGACCCGATGTTGGTGAAAGGGTCATGATCCAAAGAATAGAAACTATCTACCCCTTTGTCAGATCAAACCTGATGATATTCTATTCCCTAGACACTGTTTGACCCCCTACAGTTTTAGTGCTTCCCCATGAATATAATAACTCAGAATGTTGGTGAATGCCAGCTGGGTGAGGCACTGTACATATGCTGCTACAAAATTTGCACACTTCAGCATTCATTTAGCCTGTTACACCTCAACAATCAGATCTTGCCTGTTGATATTTTGTTCTTTCATTCCCTTCAAGGGTGAAGGAATGCCTTGAAACTTGTGAAGGAATCTTCATGCAAGAAATTGTAGCTACCTCTACCTACCTGAGATCAAACCAGGTTACCTACCATTCTCCTAATAGTAGTATTATTATATTTAGTTGAAAAGCTAAACCTATATGGGTCATAGAGTGCCTGGGTAATAGGAAGCAATCAGGTTTGATCCAAGAAAGTGGAGGAAAAGTCAAAGGTCTTTCACAATCACCAAGGAACCTCAATTGAGTAAAGTTTATTTTCTTAATACATTGTGTTACATTATACACAGGTTTTACCATACGTGGAAAAGCCCATAATTACGTAATATATTTATGGCAGATTTAAGATTAAATGTACCTTAAAATAGTTTATATTATCATAACGTGGAGTTAAAAGATAAAGAATCACACACAAAGTGGGAGTTGTCACAGCTGCTCTTTGCTGATGACACTGTGCTCTTGGGAGATTCTGAAGAGAAGTTGCAGAGATTGGTGGATGAATTTGGTAGGGTGTGCAAAAGAAGAAAATTAAAGGTGAATACAGGAAAGAGTAAGGTTATGAGGATAACAAAAAGATTAGGTGATGAAAGATTGAATATCAGATTGGAGGGAGAGAGTATGGAGGAGGTGAATGTATTCAGATATTTGGGAGTGCACGTGTCAGCGGATGGGTCTATGAAAGATGAGGTGAATCATAGAATTGATGAGGGGAAAAGATGAGTGGTGCACTTAGGAGTCTGTGGAGACAAAGAACTTTGTCCTTGGAGGCAAAGAGGGGAATGTATGAGAGTATAGTTTTACCAACGCTCTTATATGGGTGTGAGGCATGGGTGATGAATGTTGCAGCGAGGAGAAGGCTGGAGGCAGTGGAGATGTCATGTCTGAGGGCAATGTGTGGTGTGAATATAATGCAGAGAATTCGTAGTTTGGAAGTTAGGAGGAGGTGCGGGATTACCAAAACTGTTGTCCAGAGGGCTGAGGAAGGGTTGTTGAGGTGGTTCGGACATGTAGAGAGAATGGAGCGAAACAGAATGACTTCAAGAGTGTATCAGTCTGTAGTGGAAGGAAGGCGGGGTAGGGGTCGGCCTAGGAAAGGTTGGAGAGAGGGGTAAAGGAGGTTTTGTGTGCGAGGGGCTTGGACTTCCAGCAGGCATGCGTGAGCGTGTTTGATAGGAGTGAATGGAGACAAATGGTTTTTAATACTTGACGTGCTGTTGGAGTGTGAGCAAAGTAACATTTATGAAGGGGTTCAGGGAAACCGGCAGGCCGGACTTGAGTCCTGGAGATGGGAAGTACAGTGCCTGCACTCTGAAGGAGGGGTGTTAATGTTGCAGTTTAAAAACTGTAGTGTAAAGCACCCTTCTGGCAAGACAGTGATGGAGTGAATGATGGTGAAAGTTTTTCTTTTTCGGGCCACCCTGCCTTGGTGGGAATCGGCCAGTGTGATAATAATAAAAAAATATCATAACCAAGTTAAAGGCTAAAGCTAAAAGAGTTGTAAGTGCTACAATTTAATTAAGCTACATGGAAATAAAAAATTCACGTACAAAGATCATTCTAAGCGATAACTCTTGATTGTTAAAACCTGTATGTCAGAATGAAGGAATTGTGACAAAATGGTAGAATTTATGGGTGTAGAAGAACAGTAGTGAGGGGTGCATTATCTGGAGAGTTTATCTGGAGAGAGTTCCGGGGGTCAACGCCCCCGCGGCCCGGTCTGTGACCAGGCCTCCTTAGGTCATTGTCCCAGGATGCGACCCACACCAGTCGACTAACACCCAGGTACCCATTTTACTGATGGGGAACATAGACAACAGGTGAAAGAAACATGTCCAATGTTTCTACTCTGGCTGGGAATCGAACCCATGTCCTCATAAATATAACACTAATACCATTTCAGGAGGAAAACTGCAAAACTCTTCTCTTTTTGGAAGTAGAAAATGTCAGGGTGCAACCCATCTTATTGTCAGCCCAGTACTCTTATTGTAAGTCATGGATACAGTACATTCATTAAAGGATCCGTACATATAGTTGAGAGTCTGGCTGTATGATGTGAGATTGGAGCAGATATGTTAGGATTCAATAAAAGAGCATAGCCCCTTTTATGTGTGGCTTTTTTTTTTTTAAATGACAGCCAAAAAATGAGTGAGATACTAAAGTTCCAATATGACTCGGTGTTCAATGAGCTGCTGCCCAGACTAAGGGTCAACGATCCAAATGAATTCTTCATGAACGAGACCCAAAATTTGGTCATCTCAAAAATCTCGGATATTATCCTAACACCACAAGACTCTGAAGAAGCAATAAATGACATGCCCATGCACTCTGCCCCAGGCCCAGACTCATGGAACTCCATGTTCATCACCAACTGCAAGAAGCCCCTATTGCGTGCCTTCAGCATTCTATGGAGAGGGAGCATGGACACGGGTCATCCCATACTCACCAAAAACAACAGACATAGCCCCACTCTACAAAGGTGGCAGTAAAGCAGTTGCAAAGAACTACAGACTGATAGCACTAACATCCCATATCATGAAAATCTTTGAAAGGGTTCTAAGAAGCAAGATTGCCAACCACCTAGATACCCATCAGTTACACAACTGATGGGTATCTAGGGTTTAGAGCAGGCCGCTTCTGCCTGTTCCAGCTACTGGACCACTATGACAATGTCCTGGATGCTGTAGAGGATAAACAAAATACAGATGTAGTATACACAAACTTTGCAAAAGCTTAACTCACGAAATCGTAATGACATGATTGCAAACAAACCATACCACGGACGGGTTTGAGGGGACTTGAGCTAGAGTTCATCTGTAAAAACTTGCATTTGTGGTAACAGTGGTGCCTATACTAACCTTCCTATGGTGTAGAAATATGCCTAGTTGGATGAATCTTATTGTGGCTAGCTGGCCCAGTGGCTAACCTGATGGTCTGGAGTTTCGCGACTCTCTGATCGCGGGTTCTATCCCCGTCCGTGGTATGGTTTGCAGAAGCTTTCTACAAGTGTAACCATGGTGTAATAGTGCACAAAATGTGTGATAAAAGAATAACAGGAAAAATTGGTAGATGGATCTATAACTTCCTGACAAACAGAACACAAAGAGTAATAGTAAACAGAGTAAAGTCTGAAGCAGCTATGGTGAAAAGCTCTGTTCCACAAGGCACAGTACTCGCTCTCATTCTATTCCTCATCCTCATATCTGAATAGAGTTGTAAGCCATAGCTCCATGTCTTCCTTTGTGGATGACAGTCGGATTGCCATGACAGTGACCTCCATCGAAGACACAGCAAGACTCCAAGCGGATATCGACCAAATCTTCAAATGGGCCACTCAAAACAATGTGAAGTTCATTGAAGAGAAATTTCAATTACAGTGGAACCCCAGTTTTTGTATGCCCCAGCTTGCATGTAAAACTAGAGTTATTCTCTATAAAATGTACTTTTTTGATAATGTTTCCCATAAGAAATTATGTAAATTCAATTAATCCATTCCAGACACCCAAAAATATTAACAAAAAATACATTTTATGGAGAATAACCATGGTTTTACATGCAAGCTGGGGCATGCGAAAACCGAGGTTCCACTGTACTCAGATACGGAAAATTTGAGGAAATTAAAACTATCAGGGTATACGAAAAATTCTAACCATACAGTAGAGCAAAAAAGTAATGTGAAGGACCTGGGAGTGATAATGTTAAGAGGATCTCATCTTCAAAGACCACAACAGTGTATCTATTGCATCTGCTAGGAAAATGATAGGATGGATAATGAGAACCTTCAAAACTAGGGATGCCAAGCCCATGATGATTCTCTCCAAATCACTTGTTCTCACTAGGCTGGAATACTGCTGTACACTAACTGCCCCCTTCAAGACAGGTGAAATTGCTGACCTGGAGATTGTACAAAGAACTTTCACAGCACACATAAGTACAATAAGGCACCTAAATTACTGGGAATGGTTGAAGGCCCTTGATTTGTATTCCCTGGAATGCAGGCATGGGAGATACATGATAATATACACTTGGAAAATCCTAGAGGGATTAGTACCAAACTTGCACACGAAAATCACTCACTATGAAAGCAAAAGACTCGGCAGGAGATGCAACATTCCCCCAATGAAAAGCAGGGGTACTACGAGTACACTGAGAGACAACACAATAAATGTCCAGGGCCCAAGACTGTTCAACTGCCTCCCAGTATACATAAGGGGGATTACCAATAGACCCCTGGCTGTCTTCAAGTAGGCATTGGACAGGCACCTAAAGTCAGTACCTGACCAGCCAGGCTGTGGTTCATACATCAATTTGTGTGCAGCCAGCAGTAACAGCCTGGTTGATCAGACCCTGATCCACCACAAGGCCTGGTCTCAGACTGAGCTGCAGGGATGTTGACCCTGAAACCCTCTCCAGGTATGTCAAATCTTTCCCAGCTATTTCTGTAATTTAATATTAAATATTAAGCTAGTATACACTAGGCAAGTCAGTTCTGATAATCTTTGCAGGAACTTCTTGGTGAAGATGGGGTGCTCCTGTTTCCAAGTCATCCTACAACGGCTCCATATCACACCCAGCCAATCTTCAGGGCTTTCAACTTTGCTTACACTGCCATCATTAATGTGTTGCTGTTTCCATCAACACAGTGTCCTCTAGGCTTGAGCTCAAATGGTTTACCACTTGGCATCCAGGTTTGTCTTGGAAGATTCTTTGTGTCAGTATTTTTTTTTTTTTTAATTTAATTTTAAATCAAAATTTTACACAGTATTTAACCCCATAACTGTCCAAACGATTGTATTTTTACTGCTAGTGATCCAAACGTAGATCAGCGTTTTATTTTTCCTGCGCCCCGAATATTTTGAAAAATAAAAAAATCATTTTTTTTTATAGGATAAAAAAAAAATTTAGGGTCAGTATTTATGGAGATATGAGGCCCAGAAGTTGGCACTGGATGCTCATGTGACAGCAACATAGAGTCCTGCCGCTTGCAGAAGTGTTGCCGATATACCTTTTTTTCTATTTTTCATATTATTTTATGTAATTTTTATGTTCTGATAATTACAATTTATAGTAGTTCTTGTCATTTCATAACCAATCTTCGTTCTGACACTAGTATTAGGTACTGAAATTGTACTCAAATTGTCACAAAGACATTGACAGGTGAACATTTACACCTGCCTTAGCCATTTATACTATTGTCTTGGAATATAAACAAAGTATTTATAGGTCCCAGCAATGTTTTGGATATGTTGAAGTATATAATAATAATGAGGAGGAGGAGGAGGAGGAGGAGAAGGAGGAGGAGAAGGAGGAGGAGGAGGAAGGAGAAGGAGGAGGAGAAGGAGAAGGAGGAGGAAGGAGAAGGAGGAGGAGAAGGAGAAGGAGGAGGAGGAGAAGAAGGAGAAGGAGGAGGAGGAGAAGGAGAAGGAGAAGGAGGAGGAGAAGAAGGTGACATGATAAGGAGAGATAACATCTGATAAGAGCTGACGTTTGATGAGCATACACAAGGGTGGGGGAGGGTGCAGCTGATAAGAAAAGATTAGATGACCATCCCCCTCCCTTTGTTTTTGCTGGCACACAAACATTTCTGTCTGTCTATTTGTCTGTCTGTCAAGCTCCCTGTCTCAGAGGAAGCCACAAGACTGCATCATCACCTTTACTCACATCTTCAAGCAGAGTATAGCACTTTGTCTGGATTTTTGGGTTATCCTAGGTAATTTATGCTACATATACTTGTATTTATGTGTATTTGTGAAACAGAGATAGACAAAGACATTGAAAGAGATAGACAGAGACAAAGAGATAGACAGATAGACAGAGACAGATAGACAGAGACAGATAGACAGAGACAGAGATAGACAGACCCTAAACTTGGGGTTAACATCACTTTCCTCTTAAAAGAGAAGTGTTAATATGACATTACATCAGTGAATCCTTGGTGTTTGATGCACTGTTTGCTCTAACTGGCGCTCAATTTAACTGGTGCTCCCACAAGGTACTAAGTGGTCCCAGATTTTTTTAATACTGCGCACACCAAGTGTTAAGACCAATTCTATGCTGACCAAGCATCTCAGGCCAATCATGCCAAATTTGGAGGCAGGAAAAATAAAATGTATATATACGTTTGGGGTGCTATGCGAGTGAACGTATATATACGTTTGGACCGTTTAAGGGTTAAAAAAAATCTTGGTTGTATATAAGCCACCAGATGCAACCTCCCAATAGTTCAAGGAACAGCTACTGAAAATTGATTACTGTCTGGAAAGCCTTCCAGCTCTATCCCCAAACATCTTACTGCTTGGTGATTTCAGCCCAAGGCATACAAAATGGAATTTTGTATGCCTTGGGTTAGGCGAAATTATCGTTAGGCGAATTAAGTTTCCCCATAAGAAATAATGGAAATCAAATTAATCCGTTCCTGACACCCCGAAGTATGAACAAAAAAAAATTTTTACCACATGAAATATTAATTTTAATACACACAAACTGAAGAAGACGTGCACAGTTACATGACACTTACCTTTATTGAAGATCTGATGATGATTGATGGGATGGGAGGAGGGGAGACTGTGGATGGTGTTAATGTTCAGAAGGGGAATCCCCTTCCATTAGGACTTGAGGTGGCAAGTCCTTTTCCGGGGTTACTTCCCTTCTTCTTTCAATGCCACTAGGACCAGCTTGAGAGTCACTGGACCTCTGTTGCACAACATATCTGTCCATAGAGGCCTGTACCTCCCGTTCCTTTATGACATTCCTAAAGTGTTTCACAACATTGTCAGTGTAATAGTCACCAGCACGGCTTGCAATAGCTGTGTGAGGGTGATTTTCATCAAAAAAGGTTTGCACTTTAAGCCACATTGCACACATTTCCTTAATCTTTGAAGTAGGCAACTTCTTCAATTTCTCTATCCCCTCCTCCAAAGCAGTTTCCTCAGGTGTGGCCTCTTGCTGTTGAAGATGATCTAGCAGCTCATCAGTGGTTAGTTCGTCATTGTCCTCCTCCACCAACTCTTCCACATCCTCCCCACTAACCTCCAACCCCAAGGACTTCCCCAATGCCACAATGGATTCCTCAACTGGCATAGGATTCCCAGGGTTAGCCTCAAACCCTTCAAAATCCCTTTTGTCTACACATTCTGGCCACAGTTTCTTCCAAGCAGAGTTCAAGGTCCTCTTAGTCACTTCCTCCCAAGCCTTGCCTATAATGTTTACACAATTGAGGATGCTAAAGTAATCTCTCCAAAACTCTCTTAGAGTCAATTGAATTTCTGAGGTCACTACAAAGCACCTTTCAAACATAGCTTTTGTGTACAGTTTCTTGAAGTTGGAAATGACCTGCTGGTCCATGGGCTGCAGGAGAGGAGTGGTATTAGGAGGCAAAAACTTGACCTTAATGAAGCTCATTTCCGCAGAAAGTCATTCTGCCACGTCTGAAGGATGACCAGAAGCACTGTCTAATACCAGGAGGCACTTAAGGTCTAATTTCTTTTCAATTAGGTAATTTTTCACAGTGGGGGCAAATGCATGGTGTAACCAATCATAGAAAAAGTCCCTAGTGTCCCATGCCTTACTGTTTGCCCTCCACAGCACACACAAATTAGCCTTGAGGACATTGTTTTTCCTGAACACTCTGGGAGTTTCAGTGATACACCAATAAAGGCTTCACTTTGCAGTCACCAGTAGCATTGGCACACATCAACAGAGTAAGCCTGTCTTTCATAGGCTTATGTCCTGGGAGTGCCTTTTCTTCCTGAGTAATGTAGGTCCTGCTTGGCATTTTCTTCCAAAACAGGCCTGTTTCGTCACAATTAAACACTTGTTCAGGTTTCAGTCCTTCACTGTCTATGTACTCCTTGAATTCCTGCACATATTTTTCAGCCGCTTTGTGGTCCGAACTGGCAGCCTCACCAAGCCTTATCACACTATGTATGCCACTACAATTCTTAAATCTCTCAAACCAACCTTTGCTGGCCTTAAATTCACTCACATCACCACTAGTTGCAGGCATTTTTCTAATTAAATCGTCATGCAACTTCCTAGCCTTTTCACATATGATTGCTTTAGAGATGCTATCTGTTTTTCGTTTATGCGATCTCTGTTTCGAAAACAAAGTTGCACCTTTGGCAAGAACAGCTTCTTTGATTGCCATTTTCTTGGCCACAATAGTAGCAATGGTTGATTGGGGTTTTGTGTACAACCTGGTCAGCCCGGAGACACGCACTCCACTTTCGTACTTAGCAATGATCTCTTTCTTCATATCCATAGTAATTCTCACCCTTTTTGCTGTAGGGTTGGCACTAGAAGCTTTCTTGGGGCCCATGGTGACTTATTTTGCAGGTGCAATCACTAAAATGGCTGTGATAATATGAAATGTTCTGATTGTATGCTTGGAAGCGACCGCAGTAGCTGGCTTGTAAACACTGGCACCCACGGAACAAGTGAGGCGGGCTCAGGCCGCACGTGGATGCGTCTCGAACGAATCACGTTGAGCGAGTTTTTTAGCGCTAGCTAAGGCAAAATTTTTGCGTTAAAATGTATCGCTAGGTGGATTTAACATTATGCGATGCGTTCGTTAGGTGAGGGTCCACTGTATATCCTTGAGATAACCAGTGTACAACACAGTGACAAAATACCAGTGATAAAATAAAAGGAAATAAAATAAAAAACAATAGTGAAGTGTGGCAATGGTGGGGCAATCTACTTGTCCTGGTGTTGACATGTGACAAGTGATACACCAAGGTTCCAGTTACCACATACAGTGGACCCCTGGTTTGCGAAGCCATCGGTATCCAATAAATCCGGTATCCGAAGCATTATATCGCAAAAAAATTGCCTCGGTTCCCGTTACAAAACCCGGTATGCGATACGATTCGTGCGAGACGTGTCCAGTGTTTACAAGCCAGCCAGTGTGCGCGCATCTAAGGATACATTCGGTACATTCTGTATTATCCATATTATCACTGTTTTTGGTTCTTGTTTCTGCAAAATAAGTCACCATGGGCCCCAAGAAAGCTTCTAGTGCCAACCCATCGAGACCAAGGGTGCTAATGACTATTGAAATTAAGGAAATGTGTGCGAAGTGGCTTGAAGTGCAAACCTTTTTTGATGAAAATCACCCTGACACAGCTACTGCAAGCCGTGTTGGCAACCTGTACACTGACAATGTTGTGAACCACTTTAGGAAAGTCATAAAGGAACGGGAGGTACAGGCCTCTGTGGACAGATATGTTGTGCGACAGAAGCCCAGTGACTCTCAAGCTGGTCCTAGTGGCATTAAAAGAAGAAGGGAAGTAACCCTGGAAAAGGACTTGCTACCTCAAATCCTAATGGAGGGGGATTCCCCTTCTAAACATTAAAAACTTCGACACTCTCCCCTCCTCCCATCCCATCAATCATCACCAGATCTTCATTAAAGGTAAATGTCAATTATTCTATTGTGATTATTCTATTGTTATTATTGTTATTGTAATTATTATATTGCATTAAACTTAATATATCATGTGGTAAAAGTTTTTTTTCATACTTTTGGGTGTCTTGCATGGATTAATTTGATTTCCATTATTTCTTATGGGGAATATTGATTCGCTTCCCGATAATTTTGGTTTATGATGAGCTCTCAGGAACGGATTAATATCGTGAACTGGGGGTCCACTGTATAATGAATAGACTAGGATACCGAGACATAGTTAGG